TGGGGTGGTGGGGAACCCTGAGATTTTCACTGCCTGATTTCTGGGGGTTAAATCGCCAGCCTTTTTTCTCCCTGTTCATCTTCATCTGGAACGTCCATGTTCCGCAGTATAGCGGCACACGGGCCCCACTAGAAAACGGCGAGGCTGCTCGTGCAGTGCTGGCCAGGAAGGGAGCGGGCTCTCCTGCCAGGAAGGTGGGAATGCTGCCCCTGGACCACCACTGTGAGGATGAGTCATGGCTGATGGCACGCTTACCATGGGGCGGGCACCGAACAAGTGCTCGGTCAAGGATTATCAAGTTTAATTCGATGAAATGGTTTTAAGGTCAGATGAAGCTGGCTTTGTAGAGCTGGCAGCTCTGAGTCCTCGGGCTTTTCGGTATTTGGCATGTGACAGGGATCGGAAAGATTATAGAGCTGAGGGCGCCTTCCAGCCCACCATCTTTTGCAAGCATCTGTTTTGTCCCGGGGATGGCTTCAAGGCTGTGAGCAGTTGAGGACTTGGAGTTCCAAGTCCTGGGTTACGATCTGACCCCAGAACTGAGTTGGCTTCCTGGCCCCTCTGAGCCTGTACCGCTCACCTTTCCACGGGCTCTCGCCCCTGCACTGGTTTCTCTGTGAGGCGCCGGTGGCCGAATAAGAGACGGTGCAAAGCTCCCGAAACGAGAGCAGAGGTTTAGGTGAGGTTCAGTCAGAAGAGACATTCAGAACCTAAGACAAACTCCCTGCCATCGCGTGCATGCCAACTCAGAGCCACCCTCCAGGGCAGGGGAGCACTCCCCAGTGTGGGGCTCCAGGACTGTCACTCTTCATGGAAGTCCAAAGCCTCATCAGAGAGTGGACGTCCTCAGCCAGCCATTTGCTCAGTTGGCCCCCTTGAGGATAAGGAAACGGATCAGGTGGGCTGGGTTGTTCATTTGCTTGTTGGTTTGTTGTATTTGCTTGATTTCTTTTCCTTACATAATCGGTTGATTTGATTACCATTTAGAATTTATAAGGCACCAAGAGTAGTCCATGAATCGTTTCCTTCTCATCTCTACCCCCAACTACCTAGCGCTCCTCCCAGGAGGCAACCCTGTGTTTTAAGTGCTTGAGTGTCCTCCGAGAGAGAGTTTAGGTACATATAAATGAATGTGTGCATTTGCATGTAATACAGGCATTACGTATTGTGTACATAATACATACATTATGCATGTTTTGTTAAGGAATGTGGAATCGGCTCTGTCTCACAGCAACCCTATGTACAACAGCCTTGTGTGTGTGTATACAGTATGTGTGTGTATGTTCCCTGCCTCCCCCCCCCTTGTAAACCCATCTCCATTTAACATGTATCAAATCTCATCGCAGCACTCTCCTTGGAGTTACAAAGTAGCCATTCACTGATGAATAGTTAGGTGGGTGGGAATCTCTTACTATGACACACAGCGCTGCCTGCGTGACTGTGTGTGCTCCGTATACCACAGCCAACCAAGAAGTAGAAGCGCCCTGCCCTCAAGCTGATTCCAACTCCTAGCAAAGCTAAACCAGGTCTCCGAGACTGTAACTCTTGACCGGCACTGACAGCCTCGCCTTTCTCCCATGGAGAGACTGGTGGTCTAGAACCACTAATCTGTAGTTAGCAGTCCGGCTCACAAGGGTGGGAGTATATCTATAAAATAATTTCCTCTGAGTGAATCTGCTGAATCAAAGAATATATATATATATACATTGTTATATTAATTTATTATAGACTGCATACAAAATAAATATATATTGTAATTTATAAATCCTAAATCAATATTGTCTATATCGTGTCATTGCTGCTGTTGTGTGCTGTCGAGTTGATTCTGACACAGAGTGACAGGGTGGAACTGCCCCCAGAATTCGCCGGGCGGCAGTCTTTCCTGGCACCGACCTGCTGGCCTTTTCTCCTGCAGAGCACCTGGTGAGTTCACATCGCTGAACTTTTTTGTATTATCAACTGCGTAGCGCTTTAGCTGCTGCTCCATTTTTAATTGCTTCAGATGCTGGGCAGTTGCCCTCTGTACAGATTATGCCACTTTAAACGCCCACCACTCACATTCGAGAGTTGGGCTCCTGCATGGCAGGGTTATTCCCAGCAAAATGCGTTTAAATGCATCTCTGCAGTCGGCGGAGGGCGGCGGACTGGGATGCACTGTGTCCGTCTCCTTTGGATGCCTGCAGACAGACGGTTTCCATTACAACCTGGCTCAGGAAGCTACGGGGCTGTGGCTAGGGACTGCCCCGGGCTCATCCTGAGAGATTTTTCTCCAAGAACACAGGACAATCACAGGGGCTTATTATGAAGCCGCTTGAAGAAAATGGGAAACTGCACTGGTGAGGAAAAGGCCAGGAAAATTGCACTGAGGCATGTTTTTCCATCACAGCAATGTACCTGCTTCATTCTTCAAGGGTAGCAAAGCTGTCCTACAAGAATTTCCTTGGGAAAC